GTTCGGGTTGGCGTTTCAAAAGCTCTCTCGCTTTCATCGTCAGAGCAAGGTGTCTTTATTCCTGTGTGCGTCAAATAGATGTGAACGTCCATTCGCCCATGCGTCAGTCGATTGCGCCGATCGATTTTCTTGGCCATTTGGAATTGCTCGCACCGTCGTGAGCTATGTCAAGTCGTGATTAGATAATTCTAAATCGTAATCTACACGCGTATAGTGTTATCTCTGACGAGGACGCAATTCTCCACCAAATAAATAGAAGACAAAATAACTAGGGGACAGTCTGGTTTCGGGCTCAGTTCGAATAAATGCCTCCTTTTTTTCCTAGTGGCAGGCATGCTCTCTCACCACAAAGGCTCAGCACATTAAATTCACAGTGCATTTACCACAAGGCAACCTTTAGCATTCTGTGGTCACTTTTATGTTTAATAATTTTAGTCTAGTTTTGTTTTAGGTTAGTTCACTTTTCAGTTAGGTTCCTATGACTCAGGTTACTTAAATTAGCCAAATTTTGTTTTATGTTTGTTAAGTTTAGTTTTATTTTAATGTCCTTTTACTTTAGTTTAGTTTACCTTTAGTTTACTTTAGAATTCGTTTAGTTCAGGCTTATTTTTGTGTTAATTTGGTTTAGTTTAATCTCAGTTTCGTTTATTTTAAGATAAGATACGTTTAAGTTTACCATCTGAGTTCAGTAAGACAAGTTTTAGCTTTGTTTAGTATTTAGTTTACCTTAGATTTAGAATTTTTCAGTTTTTAGTTCAGTATAACTTTAGTTTAGTATATAGTTTACTATCCATTTTTAATAGTTTAAATTCGGTGTAGTCTAGTTTTTCGGGCAGTTACGCAAACTGTGCAGCTCTTCATTTCCTATTGGTTGTACTTTTCGCTTTAATTATCGCGCGCTTATAGCTGCCAACAATTGGATTGTATAAATAATCATTCTTTACTTTATACCTTTATACGGTCTACGTTTTTAATTATTTTTTCTTTCTCTTGATATGTCTCAGGCATTTAATCCCTATTATCGCCGAGCCCATTTGAGGAAATGCACGGGTTTTCGCTTGCTGAGTGAGCCCGAAATCAGACTGTTACTAATACCTTTAACCTTACAAGAACATCGAAAAGCAGTGGGCGGAATTTATATTACTCAAGTACTCATCTTTCTAGAGTGTAGTTTGTTGCAGGTGACCAAGCAAAATCATAGTAAAAGAGCCGGGATCCTGAGCTAACTTAAATATCTTCAGATTATGCTGCTCGATAATTCAGATTGCTCCTATAAGTAAGCAATATTTTCACCTTATACAAACTACCTCGAATTTATCAGCCCGTACTGGCAATTTATTGAGACACAATACGTGGGTTTGCCGGTTGGGGGGAGGCAGAGTGTTACGAGGGTGGCACGCGTGCAGCTACCGTGCAAGACCTTCATAGACAGTCGAGGGTATGTATGAGAATTAGTGATGCATTCTGCACTGGGGTGTCATACTGAAGATATTTATGTGACGAGCAAATGTCCTGGGACAGTGTGAGCGAGTAGGGCAAGAAAAACGTGTTCATGCTAGGGCTCCTAACACTATTTGACCAGTATCTGCGTGGTGGTTTCGCAAATGAACAAACCGGCTAATATGTGTTGTGAAATTACAGGAGACGAATAGGCGTTGAATCTGGATTTTTGTCGGTAGGCGAAATGGTGGCAATGATTTACGGGGTGGTATGAGTGTGTATATTAACACAACTGTAATCAGGTCATTACCCCTATGATCTGCAGGCCCAGTCACAAATGAAACATATGAAGGGCGAAGATAGTTTAAGAAGCGCACCTCATATATTCCTAGTCCTAGCATTTTTTCCTACGGAAACGGTGGTTATGAGGGTTTCGGGGTCGGAGAATAGGATAGGCAGTGGAGGAAATTCGTATGCGTAAGCGTAAAGTGGAAAACTTTAGTTGAATTTGTTTCCCCCGGGCCGCTGGGAGGAAGTTGTTCCGCACGTAAATTGAAGGTGTGCGCGGCCGCTCGTGCCGCGAACTATACTAATCTAACCCCATAATCGTAAGATTGATCTCAGGTAAGTTGAAGTAGCTGACCTCCAAAACACCATTTCTATTTTTTCAGGAATGTAAAGGACCCTGCATTTTGATAATCGGGTTTTTCCGCGATACATAAAAGGATAATACAAAATAGGAAAATCTACAGATATAAATCAACCACATTTCTAAATACAATAGAGTAAAACTACATATAGCAGTTATGAAAGTGTATTCCAACGCCTATCCTAATTCCCCACCTATAAAACACCGATACTCATCGTTTACTCAGGACAAAATGCGACTACTAGGTTCATATGAGGTGCATTAACTTAACTATTTTTGCCATTAGACGTAATATGTCACTAAAGAGTGCGTTTTACTCTATGAAATATAAATGGACGATCTTTCAGTTTAATTTGGCAGTCGTACAAAAACACACAGACTGAACGTTTATGTCGGAAATTGTCCCGTTTTCCGTGAAGTCTACCGGTAT